GCTGGTGGCAATGGCGAAGGTGCTAATCTCAATCAACTCTACGAGCCGCGCTACATCTTTGTCGATCGACAACAGAATGTCTACCTGTCAGATCATATCAATCATCGTGTCATGAAATGGAGTAAAGATGCACGAGAAGGAATTGTCGTCGCTGGAGGTCACGGTCAAGGGAATGCTCTGACACAATTGGATCTTCCTAATGGACTCTTCGTCGATACGTCGGGCACTCTCTATGTGGCTGATTCTGGGAATAAACGTGTGATGCGTTGGGCTCCAGGAGCACAAGAGGGCACTGTCGTTGTGGGTGGAAATGGCGAAGGAGCAGGAGCAAATCAGTTTTCGCATCCCATTGGTTTGTCCATCGATCGGCATGGCAATCTCTTTGTCGGCGATGGCGGGAATCATCGTGTTCAACGATTTACTCTCGCATAGAACTCGTAAACGAGAAAGACGATTGATTGATTTTTTTTTCGTTCTGTTCTATTCGCACACATGCGTGCGCGATCAGGAAACATCCTGATAGAGCCGTAACGAGCCTAAAAAGCTCATGCACGCACGGGAACAGATCCCGTATCATCTCATACCAGAGACCGTCACAGGGCAGCTTTTTATTCCCTGCCCTACCCTGTCCCCAGGGCAGGGCAGGGCTTGGAAGCTGAGCTTGAATTAGAAAAGACCCAATAACTTAATAAAAACTGTGTGACTATGTTCAAATCAATTATTCATATTTTATTAACATACTTTCGAGCAAAAGTTACAATCAATCTAGGTATGTCTTAAAAATATAACTAAACAAGCAAAGAAAAACAATGCAGACTATCACAAAGAAAGAAAATCATCGTAAAAAAGATACAAATTTCAGAAAAAAAGCCTTTACATTACAGCAAGAATAACTATAGATCACAACAAAAACACTATATATCACAAGGAAAAGATCTATAGATTACAATAAAATAATGTATATATATCACAACAAAAAGACCTATAGATCACAAAAAAGAACTATACCGGGTGTCCCAGAATAATTGCAACATCATTTGTTTTGTGAAT